AATTGAAATGTGTGTGTCCATGGTGTGGTAGAAAGAGCACTGGCCATGAGAATTAGCTACCTCCCTTCTTGGCAAAGTCCTTTACGCCAAGAGTTTCCTCTGGAAAACCGTATTGACAACTACCTTACCCACCTTCACACAGGCTACTACTGCCGTGAGGATCCAATCATGTAAAAGGAATAAAAGCTATTAATTACTCCAAAAGGTATGGCCTGGTCTTTTTGTTATGTCCTACTTCCTCTCCAATGCACAACTGGGCCCATAGTGATTTTTTATAAATATTTACTGAAACTGCCACTTCCAAATGACATTTTTGAAGTCCAACCATTCCAATGCACATGAGTAAAGTCAGCCTTCCAAATTTCATGACATAATAAACTGTTACTTTTCAAGCAAGCTCTGATGCTTAAAAATAAAGGCACACATGCTGTTTTCCTGTTGCTGCTGAAATCATGCAAAAGGGAAAAAGCTCATTTCTATGGAAGTGAACTGTCAGCTACTCAGTACTTCGAAGCCACTGCTATAAGTGGTTTTTAGCCACTGGGGGCGGGCTGGGAGATGGGAGTGGAAAGGGGACTTAGAGACCCCAGAGCCCGGCTGTAGAAGGAGAAGTGAGAAAGTTACTTTCCCCTGAACTTACACACTCAGCAGTATATTGTGGCATTAGTCTGGGCTCAGAAAACAGCCACTACCACCCGAAAAAGCCATCCTGAATCCATTATTGGGAGAATGTTAAGAAACAACGTATAGCCCAAATTACTAACTAGACTTACTTCTCGGAAGTGGGAAGAATTAGAGAGTAAACACTACATAAACTCATAAAGATTATTCCCAAATATCACAAAATTCGGGGGAGTGACGGGCACTGAATGAAACTCTTGTTCATCTGTAATTTTTTAAAAAACTGACCCACTGTAATTACACGTACTTATGGGATACAATCTGATGTTTGATAATCTGTGATTTTTAAGAGATAAGTAAACTAAAATCTAGTGAGCTTGTCATTTATCTCAAATCTCATACATTACAAAGAGTTGGCCCTGTAGCTGGACTAAGACCGAAGATGCTTTTCAGGGCTCTTCCACTGCAAAATACTCATGCTCACAAACTTGAGCATGTATGCAGGGTAGTGTAAAACGTCTTTAAAAAATGATGTTGCCCTTTAGGATAAAAGGCAGGAACAACAGCACATGTTCATTATAGATGCTAAACTCAGTAGGATTTTCTATCTGGCTTCAATTAAGTAAAAAATAAATCTGCTAAATTCAATTTGGCTCTAAGTCTTAAAATAGATATTTTAATCTTTAATATTATAAAAGCCATCAGATAATATGCCATGAGATGGTAGAAACCATTTATAGTTAATTATGAAAGCCAGGTCTTTAAAACAGAAATAAAAGTTAAAGCAATTACTCTAGTAATGAAAAAAAGCATTAATGAAGCAAAAGCACTACATGAATCATTTAGGAATATTTGTTTATCCTCAAAAAGAATCTTTATTATCTTGTTACCTGGTATTGCCCAAAATAAGGCCGTATCATGTTAATAAAAATCTACCATCTGAATTACAAACTGAACACAAGTTTTCAAGAATCAGAATATCACAATACAACATACAACTATCCATGCAGCAATTGCTCTGAAAATCCAAGTCTGCATGCTTGCTCCATCACTAACTTGTACTCAACCCCAGTGTTTGTTTCTTTTCATAACTTATTCCATCCACTTATTCCTTTAGTTCTGAGAATTTCTATGTGCCTGACAGTGCTTTGGAAAACATAAAGCAACACATAAAAATGTAAGAAATTATTACACTGAACGTTATTCTTTCCTTGAAAAGTCAATGCATTTTCTTAAATGAGTGCCATGAAATTAATAGTTACATGTTTATGATCTTTTAAGGCACTATAGACCCAGGATGGAACAAACACAGCTGGCACTTCACAATGTCAGTGAAGAAACTATAGAGAAACTATAGGGTTCCAGATGTTTCTAAATGCTGATAATGGCAAATAAGAGTAGGAAGTAAATCATGCATAATTATTCTTATAGACATATAGTGAACTAAACTCTCTGCTTCACATATCAAATCTCTAAAAACAGAAGCAAAAGTAACATGGATATATACATGATATTACTCTAATAGCTTATAATCAACTTAATGCACGATCAAAATTTGCTGGGCATGGAACATTCAGCTCAAATTTTATAACACAAAACTACATCTAGGTATCTTGTTAGAGAGTAATACAAATCAATAATTGATATTATTTTATTTTAAAAAGCCACATTAAGTACCTTTTTGTAAAAGCTTCAAGTTCAGATAAAGCTCTTTACATGTTCTAAAACTTTCCACGTAAGTCAATAATAACCTAATTGACTTTTTATGGCAATGCAGCCCACTGAATACTCATGACATTTTCTGAGCATTTGCTACATGGATAGTTGTATGTTGCATTTTGTGATATCCTAAGTCTTGAAAATTTGTGTTCAATTTGTAATTCAGAGGGTAGCTTTTTATTAACACAATACTGCCTTATTTTTAGACAATACCAGATAACAAGACTCAGTTTGGGTAGATCCTAAATGCTCTTCTCCAAACCAAATAAGCTGTAGATTTTTTGGTTACTTAGCACTTGAAGAGTTAAATCTAATAGGCAGAGTTCATCAAATTGTACTGAAGAACAAAAATGGTTAGAGTAACAATCACATGGTTTCAGCGGAAATACCTACATATTTATTTCAATTTACAATTGAGGCAATTTAAAAAGATTCCTTTTGATGACCTAACCTTTAAATTGTCCTATATTTTAAATTGCTATTACATGCAATGCTCACAATTCCACAGTCCAGCTCTGGTTAGCAAATAAAATTATCCCTTATGACACCGCCCCTTGAATTAAGTGTACACTGACCTACTTTATTTAGTCATGAGAAGGGCTTGCTGAAGCGTACATATCTGACTTTTGGTCTACTTAGACTGTTAGACTTTAGGCTTCTATTTTTTGGCGGCTGGCTGGTATGGGGATCTGAACCCTTGACCTCAGTGTTACAACACTGCACTCCAACCAACTGAGATAAATGGCCGGCCCTAGACGTTAGGCTTTTGGAAGAGCCTCACTTGATGACATCATTTGGTCTCCTCCACACCTTGTTTATTTAATGATGTTTAATACAATAGTCTCCCCTTATCTGCAGTTTCACTTTCCATGGTTTCAGTTACCCATAAAATCTGAAAATATTAAATAGAAAATTCAAGAACTAAACAATTCATAAGTTTTAAATTATGCACAGTTTAGAGCATGATGAAATCTTGCACTGTCCTCCTCCGTCCCTTCTTCATCACAAGAAAAAGAAGGTGAATACACTATGATAAGCCACCTTGAGAAAGGGAGAGACTACACTCATTTTTATTACGGTATATTGTTAGAATTGTCCATTTTATTATTGGTAATAATAAATTGGTATGCCCAATTTATAAATCAAACTTTATCACAGGAAAGTACGTATAAGAAAAAACAGTATATACAGAGCTGCAGTTTCAGGCATCCTCTTGGGGTCTTGGAACATATCTCCTGTGGATAAGGGGGGAGCTACTGTATGTAGGTTGTTGTGTAATATCTCAAATGTATTCCTTCTCAGCAGCTGCCCTATAATTTACCTAATTGATTAGGTACCTTTTTATGACCCTCTCCCAAAATAACCCATTCCAATGCAATAGCCCTCAATGTTCCAAAGGGAAAGAGAACTTTTTGGTTGACAAAATTAATAGCTATGACATGATGACAAGAAGCCAGCCATGTCAACTATTCTAGTTGTTTTGAGATTATGAAATATTGAACTGTTTCATCCATTTCACAGAGAGTCCCATCGCCAGCAATACCAGGTAATTATGCCTCCCAAAACCTAAGCCTCCATTTGAGTCATTTCATGATGAGGTGTATATATACATATTTAATAACCGCAAAATCCAAACAATCATTTATTCTGGAAAAAAAATTAGAAACGACCTATAAGTTCCACAGTGGGAATTGTTTAAATAAATCATTATAGAACAGAAGCCTCCCCTAAAGATTGTACTATATTTCTATATTTATATTTAGTTTGTCAAGTGAATAAGCAGGTTACAAAGCAGAATAATTTTGTAAATATATATATTACAAATATCCACAGGAAAAATATCTACAAGGTGTACATCAACTTCTTAACTCTTACCTTTGGGTAACAGAATTATAAAATCACTTTCTGCTTCATTTTTTTTTCAGTATTCTCTAATTTCTCTGATGAACACATATTACTGGTGTTTAGGAGAAAAAGGTTGTTTTTCTTTCAAGCATAGTCTGTGTTTTTAAAC